TCATTTTCATTTTGCTGCAACATTTTCATTATAGAACAAAAAACCAATACTTAAATTTTTTACATGAATTTTCATTTGTATTAAATTTTTACTACGAGTACAATATGACATTTTATTTTTTTTTTTTAGGAATTTTCTTGTAAAACCGGAAAATGTCAACCATATCACTCAAATATTGTCAAATATTATATTGTATACATCTTTATTATATGAATAACAAGGAAATCTAACAAACTTTAAAGGGTAAAAAAAAACTTTAGAATAACTTACAAATATCCCAAAGAATGGTTTACAGCTTATGGTACTGTTCATATAAAATTTCAAGAAACTGGTTTAGATGAGCTACGAAACATTATTATTTATGAAATTAAAAACCGACGTCTTAAACTTGAACATTCACTCTTATATCTGTCTTTATTCATGACAGAAAATATTAAGCAAAAATTAACAGATGGTTGGAGTTCTTATAGAGTTCTCATGGATCTTACCAACCATAGGGATAGCTGGTAAAGAAATCACGCCGATGGGAAGTTATATGTTCAGTTCGAATTTTAATTGGATGCTAAAATTTGATTTTAATAAATTAGTTGCAGCTATTAATATGTTTTTATATTGGGTTCCTATGAAAATGAATGGGCGTATTTGAGAGTATATACAGAAAAATCTCGTTACCGCATTGTATTTTGTTTTGATTGTGCAGCTCTTGTATCCTGTCAAAATTTATTAACAACTAGTAATTTAAAAGATTTACAAAATCTTTCAGAATGGATATTATTTGAATCTCTTAAATTTTTAAAAATGCGTTTCTAAGCATACGTAATGGTAATACAAAAGAATGTTCTTCTGGTGATAAAGATAACGCATCAAAAAATTGTGGAAACAGCTCTGATGACTCTGAAAATAGCCCAAATAGTGAACCAGAAAAAAAAAGATCCAGCAGCATGAATAAAATTAATAAAAATAACCTACCTATTGTTTACACAATACGGTCGGTAAAAAGGAATTTTAAACTAACATCTAAAATGGTACAAAAAATTTGTTCAAAAAAACTTTTCATAACTTCACGCAAAGGAACGGTTAATGGTTTTTTGTTTAATGCTTAAAAGTTGGACTATTTATGCACCTAAATAATTAGGTAATTTTTAATTAATATTCTATTGTTCTCTTTGCTAACGTGTTAAACAAAAAAATTAATTATTTAGACAACGATCGCCTGAAAGGGAAGAAGGGTTCAGATGTACTCGTTTGTGAGTTACGGCCTGTTTAACAGTTACCAGATTTTTCCCGCATATATATAAATGCATATAACGACATAAAGTAACCATCGAGCCTTTTTTTTTTACAGGTGACTGATTGTTTTTTAATTTTTTTATTGCAATCATTTTGATTTGAGCCATACTTTTCGAGATGAAGCTCGCCTCATTCAGTATTTTGTTTTAAGTGAATTCTTTTGATATTTCCTTCTATCTCACTTGTAGTTTTGCCAGTAAAACGTGTTGAAAAGACATGCGAAAAATGCATATTTTACATAAACTTCCCTCTCTACAACTCTACAAATTTTGTGATACTGAGCTTTGGCAAATTTCTACAGAATTATTTTCAACATCAATATGTGAAAATGTATACTTAGAGATAGAAAAACGGGCATTGCGAAATGGATGCAAGATTTAACGCTGCAATTTGATTCAATGTCTATATATCTCATACCGTCTTAGGGTTTCAAAATAGAATTCTAACTTTATAATGACTAAACCAACAAAATTTGTTCGAGCGATAGCAAAAGACAAATCCTTTAATTTACTTACTCATGAGAACAACTATTTATTAAAGTAAAATTAAATGATTTTTTTATTTCATTCTTCTATACATACATACAAAAAACCCACACAAAGCCCAGTATATTCCTTTTCGTACACATAAGTCCTACTTCTCTTTTTCATGTTTTCTTTCAATTTGTTTTTTATTTTTTTTCCTATTCATTTTATCTTAAGTTTCATTGTTTTAATAAAACCCTTAAACAAAAGTGAATTCCAGAAACTCAAATCGAAAAAAAAATAAGTGTATAAAAGCAATTGAGTAACAAAATTAAAAAAAGAAAAAAAAAACAAAAAAACAAAGTTTCTAATTAATTGTATGCGGGATTTGAAAAACTCACGGAACATTTTGCATTACAAAAGAACAGGAAGAATGAGAAAAGAAAAAGATTTTTTTTTTTGTTTTGTTTTTGGTAACTAAAATGTCTAGGACAATTTCAATTCAAAGTCAGAACAGAGCAACAACAACAGGATAATTTTATTTTAATTCCTAAACTTGCAATTTATACCATTTATTCTGTTTGTTTGTCATATATGTATACTTTGAAGTTACCACATAAAATATAGATTAATATACATACATAGTAATAAACATTTTAGTTGAATTGTCAACAGTTGTATATTGTTGGCAGACTGTTGTGCAGTACGATTTAATAATCACAGTTTTTATTCAGCCAGACTTTGGTAATACTCGTTAGTCGTATAACAAAAGCTATGTATAACAAATACAATATTTTTATAAGAATCTCTTTTGTAATCCAAAACTCAACCGCTATAGAGAACAAATCCATGCAAAAACGGACCACTTATTTTTTTATAATTTTGAGATAAATTTGTAGTCTGATCGACAAAATCACATAAAATTAATTGTAAGTAGGCATATCTAAATTTCTGAAAATAATTTTGGCCTTGATTCATTTTTGTAAAAGTTAGTTACTGTACTTAACTTAAGTATTTTGTGTTTTTATATTTGATAATTTAAAGTTTTAATTTTTTTGCCAATTACCAATTTCTTTAAAACTGTAGAAGCTTATTAGAAAATATTACGATATATTTAAATTGATTTAATTAATTGCAAAATTTGTTTTACGCCTCTTGTAATTCTTTATTCTTTTTCATCCTGAAATTATGCAATTGGCAAATCTATTGTTAAAAGGAGAATAATGTAAATGAACATTCTTTCTACTTAAAACTGTTTTCAATTATTTATCAAGCATTGGTTAGCTCTTGGTTTATTTATATAGATACAAACAATTAGTTAATTTCTAATTTAATTTTTCTAATATCTTTCGTTTCTTTAACATTTTCCTTTTAATTTTTAATTCATAACACGGTATTTTAATAATGACTTATAAAAACGTTCGTCTCGCATGTTAAAACTTCTTAAAATTGCATTCACTTTTCTAAATTCTATTATAGAACAAAAGTTGTACATTACAGTTGCAGCTCAGTAATACAATTGGTATTGTTAGAAAAAAAAGGGAAGAGTAACTTTTAAAATTTGATTATGTATGAAACACAAAAATAGCTAGTTTATTGTCGTTAACCTAAACAGAATCAACATTGAAAAGGATTACACTTTAGAATAGAAAAAATTGAAATGGAAACTTTTACTATCTGAATTTCTTTAAAATAGAAAATAAATTTGTCCTTTATTTGTATGGTTCAATTTTTACATGAAATTTTTTTTTAAAAAAGTTTATCGTTAGAGTTTTAATCGAAAACTTTTTTTTTTGGTTTAAATGAATTGCGTTATGTAAAAATCTGACATTTTGATAAATTGTTTATAATTTTGCTTTTTAAATTAAAATTTTATAAAATTAAGAAAGGGTTTTTTAAATAAAATTTTCAAAAATTTTTAAAAATTTAATGTTTGTATGCATATTAGTTTCACACTGTCCGGCCATTCGTCCCTGGCCATGTCTACAAAATTTCTACATCCTTGAAGGCAAAAAGCTGAAATTAAATTAAATTATATGTAACGTACATAGATCTTTACTAGAAAATTATATCCGTAGAAGAAAACTTTTACCTATCTCCTCCCTCTCTAAAAATTATAGCCCCGCAAAACCCTAAAAATGTCACTTTTCAAGTAATCATTGCAACAAAACAATAAGTATTTTTCAAATTTTTTAAAAGCAGAAAAATACTGGCTGGCTTCTTCTATTGCGGCATACCATACTTGAGCTTCGTATGCGAATGAAAGTAATTTTAACAACGTAGATACTAGGTACACAGATTGTTTTTAAAACCACCATTTTCACATGCTGAAGAGAAAAGTGTTTCATTACAAACCATTGGTTTGACCCAACTATTAAGAATAGTCGAGATTAAATTAGGTTTATAAAACAAAACATTTGGGAACATTAATTCAAAAGAGATTTCAGTTCAAGGAGACGTCAAAAATTTCTATAATATTGTTATAAGCATAGTCAGAAACAGTATACAACCCTGACCTTTGGAAAGCTTGTGTTTTTAAAAATTATCTGGGAATAGCTATGAAATTTTATGAAAATATTGGTTGAAATTAATTGCAAACCGTATTGTTAAACAAAACAATTTAAATAATTTGAAATACTTGGATTAGTGTCTTGCACACTTGTACCTTGCATAGTACACAAATGTGCAAAGGCTTCCATTTCATATCAAAAGTTCAAAAATTTTTTAAATTTCTTCCTTTTTTTATATTTTACCAGAAGCATTCAAAAAATTACTTAAAATTTAATCTGAAATACATTAAATACAAAAAAATAAATCAGACTTCCTTGACGTACTTGATAAATTTTACTAACTTATAGTAGGTAATCGTGTTTCGCCTACACAATTTTATAAGAGATATAAAAATAATTTTTATACTTTTTTTTGAATATTTCTATGAAAACTTTGCTCTTTCTTTAATTTTATATAATATTCGTACCTTAATTAAAAATTATAGTAAAATTCTAAGAACTTCTTACTAAATTACAATAATATGATGATGACGTCAAAAGTCCTTGTAAAATGTGAGATAATAACGTAAAAATATACTGTGTAGGTGTTAAATGATTTTTTTTTTTATTTTAGATTCTTAAGGTTATTTGGAATACAATTCATATATACAACTTGGGGATTAACATTAAAAATGATGACGTCAAAAATTTTGTTGAAATATTTTGATTAATGATGAGTGGGATTAAAAAAAAATACGAGTATTTTTGCAAGAGTTCTTGTACAGTATATACCATGAGTAGGTGTAACGATAAGTAAAATATCGAAGTATAGCAATTTCAAAGTGATATATAGTGAAGTGAAGTAATTTAAAACAGATTTCTTTGAGATTAATTCCTAATTCTTATAGTATCTTGAAATTTTTTTAATTGAATTAGAAGAAAGTGGGAACCACATACATAAATATAATATTATAACAACGTCCCCTATAAATTTGAATAATGCAATTCCAATTATAATTAAGGTATCGGCCTTCTTATGAAAGGTATTCGGTAAAATTACCCAGTCCTTTTGTAACGCTGAAAGATTTAAGATGCCTTTAAAGACGTTTATTTCTACTCGACATGCCTTTGTCTGCCCCAGAGATATTTCAAAAGCACATTTAGTTAAGATTTTTACAAATTTTTTGTATATTATCTACCTTATTTTACATAACTCTACTCATTAAATTATGAATTGGCCAAAGCATCAATTGACGTATTTTCCTTATAACTCAAAATATATGAAATTTACTTGCATTACTACAGAAACTATAAACAATAAATTATGTATATGCAAGCTTCACGATAAGAAATTCAATAAATAACCAACTTTCACATTATTCCAAAACACTCATATATACTATTACTGAACGTGAAAACGCGATCCGATCCACCTTTGACTTCAACACACAAAATTTTAGTTTTTAAAAATAAAAAAAAATATTCCAAATTTTATCTTAATAGTTTACACGAAGACCTCTTTATGGTAATGGTAATTTTCAGTTATTTCCTTTTTGCTATCCAAATTATTTATTTGTACTTGCAAGGAGTTCAATTGTTCTGAGGTAATTATAATAGTGGACTATTGTACAGTCTTGGGATTAAATATTGTCTTATAAATTAAAAACGACTCTTCTAACCCAAAATTTTTCGCACTTTCTAAAATATTATCTTGCAAAACTGTAAGTGTAATCTATAAATTGCTGGTTGCGTGACTCCTAAAAGTTGCAAACAAAGGAAGCCTTTTTACAAAGTTAATGGTAAATTCTTAAACGTCAAATTTTACAAAATCTGAGTTGTCTGAGTTTACGGATACTCTACTACGTTTTTACTCTCAGTCAAAGTTTAAATTCTTAAACGTTTAAAAAAAGTCAATTAAGCGTCAAAATTGTAGATTTTTTTTTTTTATATGCAGACAGTCTGACGTAGTAATTCAGTAAATAAATTTGATGTATTGAGTGACTATCATTACGTTAAAAATAATATAAAAAATACTTTTTTTATTAATTTTTAATATGTAAGTATAAAATTATTTTAAATCTAAAAAAAATTTTTTTTTTGACGTTTACGGATGATCAAAATTCAAAGTCAATTACGGGTAAAAAGTTTACTACATTTCTGTCCGTAAAAGTTTTAGTTTCAGACAGTTTGCAGACTAAAATCAAAATTTTGACGTTAAAGAATTTGCGGTAAAGTAAGATTTTCTAAAAGTGCGGGAAATTAACTGAAAAGAGAAAATTTTCAAATCGTTTCAACCTCAATTTGACCGTCTAATTTTAATTTGACAGAGTAGGGTCAAAATTTATTACAGATTATACAATCTATACTCAGAGTACATATTTCAAATAAAAATTATGAATATTTTAACGATATTATAAATTTTAAATTGATGCAACCAGAGTATATAAAGGAAAATGAATCCGAACATATTGTATAGTGTAGTCTTTCATGTCCCTTGTGATTTTACCGTTATATTTTATGTATTCCTTTCATAACATTTTATTTATAGAAAAAAAAAACAAAGAAAGTAAAAAACCAAATTTGTATAATTTTATTCCAAAAGGAATATTAAAATAAAAAGGAATAATAAATTATTTTAACCCTTGAAATCATAAATGTTTCACATACTTAAATACGGTTGATACACATGTACACAATGTATTATGTACATATACAATATGACAATATTAAAATACCAACATATATACGTTCTAATACTCATATTTACGAGTATAAATGAGACAGGAGTATAAAAGAAGTGTGGGTGTAGATTTGCATATGTGCGTATGTTTTATGGTAATTTTTAACACTTTTTCTTATGTAAATTTTTATTTCTTGTAGAAACCATTTAAATATTAAAGATTAATTTTGGTCCTTTACCGTTTTGTTTCTTAAATTTTTAGACCTTCACTATTTAATGACGCTGATAATTTTTTAATAAATTTTTAAATTTTTAATATTTTGAAATTCGCAATTGCTTAATTTCTCGAATAGCAATTTTCGTTCTCATTGTTTTTTGTGATAAGTCGCCGTTGTTACTTAATATACGGCTCCGCATTGTAGGCTTTGATGTTTTCAGTTTATTTGGAAAATGTAAGATTGAATGTATTTTTTAAAATCCTACACAAATAAAATTTTAAAGTTTGAAACCCTTCAACTTGTATGATATGAAACTCCTTTCAAACACAAAAAAATGCATTGGCCATTTAGAGCTAGGAGTTGTAGTGAATTTATTGTAAAGAGACTGGTTTTCAAAATTTATACAAAAGTTTCATTTTTAATTTGGTTCGAAATTTTTTTCACAATGTTTTCTTTTAGCATTTATTTTGTTCTATTATAATTTCATCATAATTCTAAAACACGTTGGCACATTGCTTTTATACCAATCCAACTTTCTTCACTTAATTTTTGTAATTTATCTTGTGGCGGCTGAAAACCTAATTTTTTCGATGGTAATTCCATAACAATTGCATATGGAACTTTTTGTATACCAAAAGCATAATCAGCAATTGATCCAGAATATGTACGATTTGTTACTTGTGATATACTACCACAACGATATTTTCTTCCAGTAGCATATTGTATCGCTTTTTTACCATATTCAGCAAGATTATGTAATTTAGACCATGTTTCTGGTAATTCCCTATATTAATTATTGAAAAACAAAAATTTAAATAATTAATTTTCTTAAAAAGTTGAATGCATTTTATTTCAAATTCTGTGCACATCACTTTTTACCTTGTATAACCCCATGGATACATAATTGCTTGTGCACACGAATGCAATGACAAATAAAATATTAAATTAGAACCTAAACGTTCTAATACATGTTTAATTGCACGTGTTTCTGGTTCTGAAAATGGTGTATCACCACGATATGTACATTTAAATGTTTGTTTTGTACCATTCTCCCAATGTATATCATAATTACGATTACAATCTGTACCAATTGAACGTGTTATAGAATTTGGTTTACGATTTTTACGCCATCTACGATTTTTTAAACGTGAATATTCATAACCATCACTATTAACTAATGGTATAATTAAAAATTTTACTTTTTGTAATATTTCAATATTACGACAAAATTTCTCAGTTAATTGATAAATACAATATAGGGCGACAGTAATTGATGTCCATTCTCTGGCATGTGTACCACCTTCAATAACAATCCATTTTCGTTTTGGTAATTTTTTTATATTATTTGAATTATTATTATTTTTTGTGTCATTATTATTATTGTTACAATCGGGTATACTTAAATTATCGTCATCATTAGTTGAACTAGAATTTGTTGTTAAAGATATTGTTAAAGATTTTGTTGATGGATTTCTAGCAGATTTACTGCTACTAACATTACTACTACTATTACCAGTATTATTAAGAGTTGAAGATTTTATAAATTTTCTATTATTTAATTGTGATTGTGATGATTGTGATTTAATTATATTGGCACTTTTTGATTGTTGTTTTCGTGAAATCGGTCCTGATTCTATTAGATTCTCTTTAATTATTTTATTTTCTTTAAGTTGTTCTTTATATTTTTTATCTTTTAATAAATCAATTTTAATTGCTTTTATTATTCGCCCTTCATATGATTTACCAATTGTATAAACGCTTACAAATGATTTATAACGATTTCCTAAATAATCCAAATAACTGTTAACTTCAACATGACGTAAATAATTATTTAGAATGTCAGGTCTAATAATATTCATTCTAATTTTAAACAATTTCAACTGTCAATTTAAAAATTTGATTTTTTGAAATTAAGTGACAATTTTACTAAACTAATTAAATATTTTATAAAAAATTTAAAAACAAATTTAATAATTTTCGAAATTGACTTTACAATTCAAAACAAAAAAAAAAATTTTTTTTAATTCTATTTGTATAGAGCAATGGTAGGTAGGTACCACAGTCTAGAGACAACGTTAATACGGCGTGACGATGTTAACTGCGTTAATTTACTATAAAAACTGGGAACTACATAATTTTGTCTTTCGTACAATAATTTTATTCTTCCTTGTTTTAAAAGCATTGTATATAGAGTTTTCAGATTTTTTGTTTAGGTTGCTTGCTGCGGTTGTTAACGGTTATCACTAAAATGCTTATATTTTTTTTGTTTTTCTTATTATTTTTATTTATGTTGAATTGCTCTCTTTTATTTTCCAATGTTTATTTATAATATTTTTATTCCTTAAATACTTTTTGATTTAAAAACACTATTTTATATCGTTTTATATAAAAATAACAAGGATAATAATTATTACATTGAGAAGCACATACAAGACACAGACATTACCACAAAAATATACTAGGTATTGGTATACCTAAATATGTAAATGAGCTTATAACAAGAAGAAGAAGAAGAAGAAGCACAATAAGAATAAAATATTTTATTAAAAGTAGTATGGGTATATACATAGAAGAGAAACGAAGTCATAAGGGAAGTATAATAGTGAAAAGATCAAAACGCCCCAAATTTCATTTTAGCATGCAAAATATTTAGCAAGTACATTTAATGTTAACTAAAACTAAACTAGCTATTTAAGTATTATGCTTATGAAATATGTGTACAATAATGTGTAGCTAATGTGTAGATAAGTCTATTATATAATAGTACATGCAATTATATACTCGTGCATACATACACATAGACTCTACTAATGTGGACATATATAGATATATATTTAACGGTAATTCATTTATAATCGATTTTAAAACTGTTATCGACTCACAAAATCAACGGAATTACTAAATGATGTATTCATTTAGAGTGCTGTTCAGGTATAATAATGAGGAAGAACTTGTGAAGAATTAACAAAGCGAACACTACTGTACAAACTGTACACTACTTAAACATACATAGGTATTGTTTTCATAATATACATATATTCTGGTACCTGCCACATATAGGTATAAAATTCGTATGAATATGGATTTAAAAACAAAACATATGCTTTGTTTTTTTTACCGTTATTTAATAATTGTTTCCTGTGACGTGTAATGTAAATGTCAATTCGTGTTTTATATATTTTGTTTTTCTTATATTTTTACTGTTTGTTATACTTGTCCATCTATCTGTCAATGGTATAAGGATTGTTACAAGTACCTGTAATGTATGTGTCTATTATATGCTTATATTAAAAGGTTATAACTTACAAAATTACTTGTAATGATTTCAAATTTTGACAAATTTGTCAAGAGGATTTGATTTTTTTTTTCATATCGGTATTAAAAAAATTTTTTTGAATTTGAATTTTCTATTAGAAGTTCATTTAATTGATGTTAGATTCAATAAGAAGATTTAGTGTATACATACATACATACATACATACATACGTATTCCGTACCAGAATTTTTAAATTTTTCATTTTCATTAAAAGAACTTCAAAGATTAATTGCAAATATTTTATAAATGGAAAAGCAATCTTGCTAAACGGCAGTATACACTATTTTAAAGGTCGCAGCTTATAAACTTATTAAATATGAAATAATTCACATTAATTTTATGAACGAAAATTTCTGATTCAATTAATGGTGTTGCTTGAAATATGTATACCAAAATCATAAAATACGAATTAGAAGATTATGATGAACATGGCAATTTGAAATCAAGCAAAACAACGAACCCCTAAAATAAATGAGAAGTATCAAAGCTGACAAGTGCACTTACTGTTTAAAAATATCAAATGTCAGAAATTTGCCCAAATACAAGCCTTACTGCATTCATCACCATACAAATTATTCACCCATCAGTGTGCTACTTGATATTCGGGCAAATAAAGTTCACAAAACTCGAATATACTGATTGGAATATACAGAATCTTCCCATGCTTTTTGTTTAACTACAAGATTTTACCAATTTGTCTCAATACAAATAATAATATTGTCAATTGGGTTTACGTTTTAACAGTAAAATAATTATTATATAAATCCTACCCCAATTTAATAAAGGTGAAAACTATTTTAAACTTTAACTCAGCAAATAAACGATATTCTTATATATTATGTATCTATATATCTATTTATAACTTGTAGTTATAAATGTAGCATGTAATATAAAATGAAATATTTCTATCTAAAATTATATTTCTGTCCCCTGTGTTACTCTCATTTATTCTCACCCTTACGCTATATTTCCTTCCTATATACTAATAATAATAATAATAATCTATAAAATCTATTAGTTCTATTTATTTCATATTAAGTTCAAACAGAACCCCAAATTTTTATATTTTATAATTTTGTTATATTTTTATCAGTATTACAATAAAAGAAATCAGGATATATATAACGTAAAATCAAATCAACACTATTCTAACCACATAGTAAATACAGTACAGCACAAATAAATGAACACTCGGATATTTTAAATGCTTATGCATAAGTGGACAAAAATGCGCACTAACACGTAATCAAAGCTTTCATTTTTAACAGTGCTGTTTGTCAATTATGATAATTATGTGGAACAGAATTCGCACGGCTTTAAATATTTTAGGTATGGAGATAAAGTGTCATGAATGTAATATCTGTCAAAAAATAAAATATGCACTTTACAACATGTTAAAATTAGTATATAAATTTTTTTTGTATACTTAATATGTACAGGAAATTGTTCGTATTACACTTACCCAACGTAATTCATTAAAACTCTGTACATATAAATAGCAAAACTGTTTACTTACATTTATCCATACTGCATTTATTTGTGTTTCACTGTATATATTTATAGTATTGCTGTGTCCCAAAAAATCAAAAAAAGAAAACTTCTTGCATATTTAATAAGGATATTTAAAGGTTCTGTATTCCAATTGGAAATATTATGTAGGTAGGTTGAAAACAAATATAAAACGTTGAATGTATGCGAAATACAAAAAAAAAACAGAACAATCTATTTTGCGTTGAAGCCTATTTGGAATTTGCTGTTTTCACCTTTTCATAACTGTATAAACTAATCAATAACTTTTAATGGTACTAAAAAAATAAAAAATAATTTCGTGACTATAAAATTTAAAAAGTTAATAAATATGAATGAAATTTTGTCCCCTCAAAACAAGAAAAATAATCAGCCTACCTGTAAAGAAAGAAGCAAATGAGGCAAAGAAAGAAGGAAATTATTTAACTTGTAAAATTTCCTTTAATTGAGGTTTTTTTTTTTGTTCTTGTTTAAAAGAAAAAGTTCTTACTACATTTTCATTTCGTCCTTCTCTCCTTTATAAATTCCTTCGTTTTTCTTCCCCTGTCCTATATAAATTTCTTAATGAATGCTGACACACAAATTTATTTTTGTGAGAAAAGCATTCCTCTAGAAAGTATTGTTTATTCTTACCCCCTTCACAAATTTGTGGCTCGTTCATCCAATCCTTAAAAGTTAATTTTTTCGAAACACTTAACGTGCTCAAGCCGTGATTATTCGGCATCAAAGCCAAATCCCTAAATTAGATCAAGTTGCTTTTGAATTTTAACACTATATTTTTTCTTTGATTATAAATTGTAAGAGTTGATCTACTTTCCTCTTCTACTAGTTGATTTACTTTCCTCTCTTCATAAATTATAACTCCTGAAAAGTTACAAAATTTCAATTTTCGACAACTTATCTCCTAAAGAACTAACAGAAAAATGTTTTCCTGGCAAAGACTTTAATCTTTCATCTCCTCGACTATTAGTTGACTTAACTATTGCCACATAATTTGGCTATTATGTTGATATTTCCCTTATGTCCTCTTCCTAATGATATGCAGTAACTAATTTATAGGAAATGTGGTTCTGTACAAAACCAATCCGATTTCTTTTTTTTTAATATTCTTTATTTATTGCATTTTTTTACAATAAAAAGATAATTTTCTTCATTATTTTTAACAAATACTCGTTTTTTTTTTACTTTCTTGAAACAAAACTAATAAATAATAATAAAATTTTCAAAAAATATTTCGTTCTTTCAGTTTATTTAAATTGCCTTATAACAGGCGCAGTTATATAAAAAAAAAATTGTGGCGGTTTATGTTATATAGAATGTCAACATTATATGAGGGAAAAGGGTAAATGAAATTAATTTAAAAATAATTATGTAAATAATTAGACCTTGTGACAATTAAATTGAGTACAGTACATAAATTGAAAGTTAATTTAATATTTTATATAGAGAAAATTTAGAAATACAAAGGGATACGGAATTGTAGGGGAACATGAAATTGTGTTGAACGAAAATGAAGAGTTAAAAGAGTTAAACTAGTTTATAATTATTTCAAGGATTTCTATAAATAGTTGGACTACTTTTTTCTTTATTGCGCCTTAATAATTTTTATGGTTTCATGCGATTCATTAAATGAGAAGAAAAGTGTGTCAGTACTAACTTAAAGTAACGAAAAGTAAACAATTTTTTATTTTTAATTAGAAAGTAATTTTTTTTTACTTTTTAACAACCTTTAAAATTTTGTTGTCACGAATGAAAAGAAGAATTTTAAATCCTAAATGGTTGTTTTTTTTTCAAATGGTTGACATTTAAGAAATTTAAATACATGTAAAATGTCGATTACATATACGAGAAAATTTAAGACTAAATTTAAGACAAAGTCTAATGACTGCTTACATGTCAGAAAGAAATTATCTGATAGGGTTTAGACTTAACAATTTGCTAAAAAAAGATGTGTATTTACCGAAATTAGCTGATCAGTATCCAGAACTGTGACATAAAATTAATTGTTGACATTTT